AATACATGATTAGATTCTCATCTACCCATGTAAACTAACAAATGATCCTAAACCCCTCTCATTTAACAACTTTTATCCTCACTCACCACTTAGAGTCTACCATTTTTCTTCACAAAACTTGGCAATCCCCAATTCGAAACAAAAACATTTTTAAACTCTTAAGGCTAGTGAAAAGGTTTTGAAAATAACTTTGCTCTTTAAATATTTCTTATTGGTTGCTCTCTTATTGTTTTCTCTTTTTTCTTATCATTCTCCTTGGATCGCCTGGTTGGCTCGATCTTCTGGTCGATCACATCCTAGACCGACCGGCCATGCTCGATCTGCTCCTCGATCTCTGGTCCTTAGCAAATATCCGAGCTTCCACGAACTGCTACAACAGCCTCAACATGTCCACGAACCTCCACGACTCCAAAGCAGCCAGAAACAACCTAAATATGATGCAAAATGCAAGGAACATGCGTATGCTGGTGCAAGAATGCTCTAGGACTCTAAGTGATGCAATCTAACCTAAAATGTGATACAAATGCATGAAAAGCTAACTAATGAGTATGCAAAATGTATGTAATATGCAGTAACATCAGAGAAGCACAGCAGCAAGATATTGACACTTTGAAAGACCAGATCACGAATGCACCAGTTCTGGTCTTACCTGAAACAAGATATTTGAAGTTGAATATGATGCCTCGGGGATAGGCATAGGAGCAGTGCTAACTCAAGACAAGAACCCAGTGGCATTTTTCAGCGAGAAGCTAGGAGGAGCTACACTCAACTACACTACATATGACAAGAAATTATACGCCCTTGTTAGGGCTTTGGAGACGTGGCAGCACTACTTGATATCAAGAGAATTTGTGGTTCATACTGACCATGAAACGCTAAAGCACCTTAGAGGACAAACACATCATAAGAGCAGACATGCTCGTTGAATGGAGTTCATAGAGACCTTCCCATACATCATCAAATATAAGAAAGGCAAGGACAACATTGTAGCGGATGCCTTATCTCAAAGATATGCTCTGATCTCTACAATGGAGAGCAAGGTTATGGGATTCAAATTCATCAAAGAGCTCTACCTTAAAGACAAAGATCTTATGGAGGTATTTGACGAGTGCAACAAATAAGCGTTTGGCAAGTTCTACATCTTTAAGGGATTTCTGTTTAGAGAAAAGCAGCTTTGTATACCCCCAATGTTCGTTAAGAGAGCAAATTGTGCGAGAAGCACGCGGAGGAGGGCTCATGGGACACTTTGGGTTTGATAAAACCTAAGTCGTGGTCAAAGATCATTTCTACTGGCCACACCTGAAGAAGATGGTTGAAGCTCATTGTTCTAGATGTGTAGTATGCAAGAAAGCCAAGTCTAAAGTCCATCCACACGGCTTATACTTGCCCCTGCCCATCCCCACGGCTCCTTGGGTTGATATATCCATGGATTTCGTCCTAGGATTACCAAAGATCAACCATAAAGATTCTATATTTGTGGTAGTGGATAGATTCTCCAAAATGGCACACTTCATTCCTTATGCTAAGGTGAATGATGCAACTCAAACCGCGAACCTATTCTTTAAACAGGTAGTACGGCTACATGGGGTTCCAAGAACTATAGTCTCTGACCGGGACAGCAAGATTTTGAGTCACTTCTGGAGAACATTGTGGAAGAATTTAGGGACTACACATCTTTTCTCTACCACTTGTCACCCTCAAATGGATGGCCAAACAGAGGTTGTGAACCGCACGCTATCAACCTTGCTAAGGGAAACTATTAGAAAGGACATGAAAAACTGGTTAGAGTGTATAACATTCATTAAATTCGCCTACAACCGAGCTCAATACTCAGCCACCAAGATGTCACCATTCGAAATTGTATTCGGATTCAACCCTACTATGGCACTTGATTTGACTCCCTTACTCCTAGAAGAAGCTGTAAGCTTAGTGGGCAATGAGAAAGCTGAGTTCATCAAGAAACTTCATCAAAAAGCCCGAGAGAACCTAGAGAAGCGGACGTAGCAATATACAAAACAATCCAACAAGGGACGAAAGGAGATAGTTTTTCAACCAGGAGAATGAGTTTGGCTGCACATGAGGAAAGAAAGATTTCCAGACCAGAGAAGCTCAAAGCTTAAACCAAGAGGAGACGGTCCATTCAAAGTCTTAGAGAGAATCAACAACAATGCCTACCGTCTTCAATTACCAGGCGAGTTAAATGTATCCTCCACTTTTAATGTTAATGATTTAGCTCCTTTCTTGGCAGATGATACAGTTTTGAGGTAAAAAAAAATTCAAGAGGGAGGGAATGATGAGGACTTCCAAACTGACCCGGACCTCACTGAACCGCAGCTACAAGATTCTCAAGAACAAGAGATACCCATCCCAAACAAAGGCTCCATGACTAGACGAAGAGCTCGTTCGCTTCAAAACAAGTATAACCAAGCCATAATACAAGCAATGTCCAAAGCTGACCAAGAAAGCAACATATATATACATGGACCAGCTCATTTGAATACATAGAAGACCAAAGTCAAGACTCAACGGACAAAACTCAAGAAACCTGGCCCTTGTTATCAAAAGAAGCCCACGACAACATATTCACAGTTCACATTCAAGGGAATGGGACATAAAAGGATCCAAGAGATCATCGCTTTAAACCAATCTCGTCAAAGGCTAGTAAAGGTAAGAATCTAAATTATTTCAATCATTTTTATGGTTTGACTAATCCTTAACTTTTCTCCTTTTGATTTACATTAAGCGTGATCAGTTGTTTCAATTTATGTAATTTTCTTAATGCACTATTGTTTTTTTGCATTCATTTAAATTCCCTAAAGATGAAGAACCATTATATAAGGTTCTCCTGCAGCATTGTAATGTTTACCTTTGATTTTCTAATACAAATACCGAATTTTCTTTAACTTGTAATGAACTCTTGTGTTCTTTCTCTTCAAATTTGTTGAGACCAGCACCTCCAAATTTATAGAGAAGCTTTTGTGTTGTATCAAAGGAAAATTCATAGCCTTTGTGGTACACTTCGATCCATCCGGTTCTTATATTCGTTCCATCCGACCACCGGTCCAATCGTCTGAGTTCCTCGACCATTCGACCAATTTCCATCGTCCCACGGTTCAGTTATTCGTCCCACTGGTACCGCCCCTCGTCCCACTCGACCATTGGTCCCATAGCTTGAGTTCTTCGGCTGTTCGACCCAAATCTCTTGTCCCATCCGACCACTCGTCCCTCGACTACTTTTCTGAATAGCCGAAGCCTTGAACTAAGGGTTATATATCACGATCAATCACCCATGCTTGTATCAGACTTGAAACAGATTACAACCTCTTAGGTAAAACTAGTTGGCTAACAATTCCTTGAAACAAAAATGTAAATGAAATGGCCAACATGCCTTATACTAAAGTTTAAATGAAATAAAGCTGAACTAAAACAAACAAAGAATGAGTTTTTTTAGTTGAATAAACCATATTGAAAAAAGAACTCGGACTTACCTCGGTTTAGATGGTTTAGAAGCAATTACTTAAGTAGTGTAATGCTAAATAAGGAAACTCTTTTGCTAGCATGAATTATTGGCCAGCCGTATGTATAAGATATGCTTTTGATGTGAGGACCGTTGATGATGCTTGAACATTCTTCTTGAGTAACATGGGAGTCTTCTTGCACGTTGAGAATGCCTTGCTCTTCTAAGCTTGCTTTCACCATGGCTGCTTCTTTCGAGATATGCTGAGTTGGTTGAGCTGAGTAGTGACATCTTCTAAGTGCTGAGTAGTGATCAATGTCTCCACTGCTTGATTGAAGCTCTCTGTTAAGTCTTTAGTTCCTGATCTTGTTCTTGGAGCTTGCTTCATGACGGGAACTTCAGCTTCAGCCTCTAAGTTTGTATCAGGCACCTGCATCGGCTTCTACTCCTCGGTGTGACGTTGGCAACCTCCTTCCTATGGATTTTCTCTGGTTTTGACTTTGGTGAACTTATGAGTTTCGACCATTGACCAAGCCTTAATCTTTTGACTATTTAAGCAAACCTTATCAAGAATTCATCTTATCTTTCACTTATCTTTCATTTATCTGATCTTTTATGCTTTTTCATATCTAAACATTCTCTCTCTCTCTCTCTCTCTCTCTCTCTCTCTCTCTCTCTCTCTCTCTCTCTCTCTCTCTCTCTCTTGTTCTTAAGCTTTTACCCAGGATTCTTAGTGTTTTGTAAGCAATATTTTGAGTTTCTATTAAGAGTTTGCATTTTCTGCTTTTGATCACCCTTATACTGCTTTTAATTATGTTTTCTGTTTATTAATCTATGAATTTCGCTAGGTTATCTATGTGTTATGAGTAGTTCTCTTAGGGTTCTTAATGATTTAGATCCATAATGATTTAGTGGTTGATCCTTGATGTTTAGTGCTTAATATAATTGATCCTTTCCTTCTTGATGTTTTTAATGCTTGATCCTTGCAAATCACTATGATTTCGAATCTAGGCTTTCATTGCACCAAAAGTGTTTGATAAAATGTATGAACCAGTCATTTAGGAGATTTACTTATCCTTACACATGAGAATATTGACTAGGGAGTATTTTGGCTTGATAGAACTGATGTTTAGTGCTTATTAATTGGTTGATCACTAATAAGAATTAGCTTTAGTTAAGTTGTTAGTAAAGAGATCTTTGTCAAGAGATTGGACTGATTTTCATATTTAGAGTTCTATGCTGAAGGATTAGCCTTATTGATTGAGTTTGCACATCAAGGATTGACTGCTATTTCATTGTTGGATCAATAACCCCATCCTAAGACACCTACTTGTTTAATCTCGAATTTCCCCTGTTTTTGCTTTGTTTTTGAGTTCAAATTGCTTAGTTACTTGCCTTGCACTCTAGTCTATTGTCTTCTTTCACTTGTTTAATTGATCACTTAGGGTGTTAGACTTCTAAGCAACATCTTTTATTTAGCTTAGCTTGCATTCATTCATGTATTCTCAATGATTCACATCCCTGATTAGATTGACACTTTAAATGCTACAATGACATAATCATAGGACTTAAGAAATTGAGTCACAAGAGAGTGAAAACTCTTGTATCAATATCACTTCTTTTAAGTCCAGCTATTAAAATCAGATGATCACTTTCTTTTGCCTTCATCAATGATACAATAACGATCATACTTTCATGCAACAAATCAAAAGACAAATTTAATACAACTTGTGTCAAGCTGGTTACTAAGTACATTCCAATATTCCGTATTCATTCACAAGAGATGAAGAGTCCATATCCCCAATTGCTTTCTTCAAAAACTCAGAAGCCATTGGAAATTTATTACTTCTCAACACGTCTTTATTATTCCCACCACGTTCCTACCAATCTCCTCTTTTGTCTGCTCAGACACTGGAACATCTCCAATGTACATACCAAAAAATGCCCCTGCAAGGTTCTTATATCTCAGCCCTTACGATTTGGTACGCACGCAAGTTATGAAAAACAAAAACAAATAGAGATAAGAAAGAAGAACTAACTGCAAAGATCCTTGCTACGGACAGCTCCAATCAGGTTACCGCCAACTGCAAAAGTTTTTTTTACCATATTCACGAGAGGGAGATAATAAAGCTTCATTTTTATACATCATTCAAAATAATGCAGCAAAAATCAGAGTTTTGCATAGTGTAGTAATTAGACCTATAACTTTTAACTGAACCAGAGTTTTACTTCGGGTTATCGGTTATGGTTAAGTTATTCGGTTAAGCCGATCGACAACATTTTAACATTGATGCTGTTAACTAATCGAATCGAAGCAATCTAAAATCTATCCAAATTTAAACCAAAAAAATCTAGTTTAGTAATCACTCACTCTCTGTGATTAGTTGTCCATCAGCTGTTTGTCGAAAGTCTATAACTGTTCCCTGCAATGAGGGATTACTAAGAATGAGTCGCACGCCTCTCTATATGTAAAGTGTGAATGTAAGCATTAGCCATGGAAGTACCGCGGGTATTGGAATGTCTTGTGTGAAGAATGAACCAAAATCATTCAAGCAATGGAAATTAGTTTTTGGATTTGCCTGAAATAAAAGAGTTGCAGAAGCTTATGATATGGCAGAGTGTAAATCTTCAGTACCTCGGTGTATCATTTACCTTAACCAAACGAGCACGCAGGGATTTCTCAAAAGCACTGAAAAAATAAACAAACAAGAAGGCAAAGAGATAATTTTTTCCTTCAAAAGTACATAAATCATCCAATGGCAAGTTAACATATTAAAAACTGAGAATCAATTGTAAACCTTTAGGAAGACAGTTCAAAACAATAAGATGTTCAATATGTTGAAAATTCAACTTACTCTCTCACAGTATTGATCTTTAAGCCATTGTAGTTAACCACAAGCCTCACACTCATAACAATATCTTCCCTGAAAAAACCAGGTAAATTACTTTCAGATCAAATACACACTCAGAACTACACAACCTATACCAGATTGCAATTCAAACCAATAGAAGTATACAAATCTTTCAAAAGAACGAAGGCTTATAATACCTAAGAAGGTCTTTGCATAAGTCATCGCATTTGTCAAGTTTGCTATCTGGAATAGAGGCATACTTTGGACCAAGCTTCTGGCAGACAGAGGAAGGATGAACATCTAATGCAGATAAGTTCCAGTTAGAAGCACAAGATGACAGATGATTCCATCAAAGATATAAAGCTAGAAATGCACTTACAAAAACCAAATGCATATACTTTTAGAGATTTAATCCTGATAAATTGGATTGTCCGAGATCCAGTTGCAACAAGCACCTTAAATTGTGATGAATCCAAAAGGTTATAATATTATCAGATACTCTAAACATAAAATGTATTGAGAAAGAATAAAGACTGAGAAAGAAAAGCTATAGGAACCTCAGAAGTGAATCCGGAAGCATTTTTCTTCAACATCGGGAATTCGATTCCAGTTCGAGGCTCAACTGTTTGTCTTTTCCAGTCCAATTTGTGAAAACTCAAACCACTATATTCCTCACGGCGAACCAGACAAGTCCTCTGGTCAATGTTCTCTTGTAGTTTAACATCATTACTCCCCCGTGGCAGAGCAAGTCCATTCACCGCCCTAACCAATTTTACAAATCAGAAAATTTCCAAAGAGAGAGCTTACATGCATACAAATCTTATAAAACTTACATATTTTGTAAAGATGGTATCAATGAGACAGCCAAGGAGAGCACAGAACAAGAGTGTAGCCTCTCAGCTTCATTAACAAAATGCTGAATATTGGATTTAGAAATGTTTCCAAAGAAGCCAGGGATCAAATATCTTGTTCCATAGTGTAAATGGAACACAGAGATGTTCGGATAACTCTTGGCATCAGAGCTTAGGCTCCATTGATAGTTAGATATTTCCCTTTTTTGCAAGTTGTTCCCATTTGAAAACCAACAGAGCAAAGCTCCTGTAAACTTGGAGATGCAACTAAATGCTTCAAAGGCGAAGCTTTCGGGTATATGTAATTGAGAAAACAACCCATTTGTTAAAAAACTCCTCTTTGGTAATTCGTTTCCACCATTAGAATCCATATTTTGCATTTAAGCTTTCAAGAGTGAAATACTTAATTGTTCCAATGATTCCTGCAACAAAATCAAAAACAAGCTATTAACAATAGATTATCAAAACCTGAAGAATCAAAGTAGCGCAAATATACATATAATTAAAAACGCCGAATTAACAACGCAATCATAAAAAAAGAAAAAAAAAAAGCTAATCTCGTGTTCGTATAAAATTAGTGATTAAGTCAATGTAAGACGCGATTGACATCATTATCATATAATCACTAAACGCCAAATAAGATTAACAATTTGTATATTGCACGCGACGTGAATTGGTTACCAGGAGAGAAATTAAAGGAAAACAGAATCTGAGAAGACGACGAACATAGATGAAAACGTTAAGCTTTTTGATTTTTCTTTCTTTCTCTGATGTTTTGGGATCTTTTGACCAAAGAGATGGGAAACGGAATATGCTTTGGCTTTAGGAACAATAACGGCGAAGAATAATAACAATGGGGTCGCTAAGGGGAAATTAATTTCCGGGTTCTGTACTGAATATGTTTTAATTTTTTTATTTAAGGAAAAAAAATATATATTTAATCAACATCGTTCGCTTTTTGACTGTTCTGAGATCACCCCATATTGTTTAATATGATTTCAGTTTGGCATCATATTTATAATTGGTCCAGTATTACCTCGGTTCGGGAATGTGCTAAGCGTTAATCGATGTTCAGGTTTAACAATTTTTGGAGCTGGATTTTGCATCTTAAATCTGGTCCACTAAAGTCAAATATGCAGATCTAAATTAAACATAAATTGGTTGTGCTTTGTTCGTACAGTCCAGACCCACTTCCTTGCAACGATCTGAATCTGAACAATTAAATAGTCCGTTCGATGAGGTCGAGCTCCAGCTCGACCAAATTCCGAAATCCCGAGAAATAAGGAAGGATCCGAACCAAATCAAAGCATATTCTCTCAGTTCAAACGAGCCCAAAATTCATGGAAGAAATTGTTGCACATGGCCGAGACTTCTGGCTGAAACTGCTACACGTGGCCGAAATACGCACTGAGGTTGAAGCTCGACGAGGCGAACTATATAATGGGAACAAATGACTTAGTTAAGGGGACCTTCGGCTTGATCTTCTTCTATACTTTTTAATACACGAAAACTCTGTAACTGCTCTTCAAGCTCTTTTCATTTCTTCTCTTTTAGAGAAATCTTTGTAACCGTTCTATTCGTCCGATTAATATCAAATCTTTATTTCAGTTAGTGCTTGCTTATACAATCAATTTGTTTATTAGTTCTCCTAAAGTTCTTTCCTTATAAACACATAAATTTCTGAGTGTGAATTTCTGTATCCATATTATGGCACCGTCTGAGTGGAGAGATCTATAGTTTTCTCTTACTCAAGAGCGGATCTTAAGCCAGCTGAAACCGAAATGGATTCATGTCAACAAACCTCGGGAAACATCTCACCGATTCCGATCTCTCCAGATCATGTCACTCCGACCGGCAACGTCAGCCAGACAGCCGGCGGAAATAAAGCCAGAGTTTCGGCATCTCAAAGCCGGGCAACTCCCACCTCTCCGCCACCACCTGTAGCTTCTAGAAGCGTGACAGAGAGTCAGCAGAGATACTCTAAATGCTCACACATCTGATCGATCGACAACGAAATCAGGAGATCAGATTAGAAAGGCAGGAGAGGCGTAAACCCGCAGCTAGATCAGTTGTGAGTCCACCTCCACGGAATCAACTTGACTTTTCGGCGATCCCTGCCTCAAGTAATCCACTCGGACATCTTACGACACCTTTGCGTGCTCCAGATCCACCAAACTTTGCCCCTGCGGCAAACCAGACACCAATCACCATGGAAATTCCAGGTCCAGGAATACCAGAGATGGGACCTTGCCCCGAGACAAGATATCCATCTCCACCTGTGCCAGCACCAGGAATACCCAAAATGGGCCCTCGTTCCAACACGAGATATCCATCTCCACCTTTAAGACCACCTGGAACCAAGCCACCTCGACAGAGATGGCTTGGATCCTTGGCCTTCGCTTCGAGCTCACAGATATCGCCCCAGTTTGGCCAACAACCGAACACGACCTCGAGCTCGAGACTCCCTAACGGAACCTGTGAACAACCCATCGGGTTTGTTCATCAACAGCTTGGAACTACCACAACCAGACCGACTTCGCCTTTTGGCAGATGAATTCAATGTTCCATCAAGCTACGAGCTCAGCTCCTGACATCGATCGAGTAATCCGCAAGACCCAACGGACTCCGTTCACTTACCCGATCACGAACACATACCTCCGAGACACTACTAAAGTACGAGCTACGCTGGAAACAATGACCCAAAAGCTTATATTCGACTCTTCAAACTCGCAGCTATCCGAGCTAATTTTTCACCAGAGGAAAAAGAAGTAGGATACTGCTGGCTCTTCGCCTAAAACCTAGTCAAACCAGCTCAGAAATGGTTCGCGACGCTCAAAGAAAATTCAATCGGGAATTCCAATGAGCTTGCTATAGCCTTCCTCAAGCAATATTCGATCTTCATCGAAAAACGAGAATTAGAAGCCGATGTCTGGAAGCTAATCCAAGCTGCATATGAACCACTTCGATCATATATCGCCAAATTCAAGTATATCAAAGCAAAAATCACTAACCCTAATGAAGCAGTAGCCCTGCTCCCCCTCAGAACCAACTTCTGGTACAACTTGAGATTCAAGGAAAATCTCATGCTTCGACCTACGAACTTACTTGACGACGCACTCCACCGTGCGTCCATATTCGCTAACTTCGAGGATGAAACGTCCGCCTGCGAAGCAAAATACTGTAACAGACAGCTCCACCTCGCATCTTCCGAGTCGAAGAAAGCTAACATTTCCACCTCCCAAAAGGGAATCACAAAGAAAATGTCAGCATTCATATGCCATTGAGAGCTCGTCCCTCGAAAAAGAATCGCGCTTCGACCAAAACAAGTATTGCGAACACCAGAAAAAGAACGGGCACTCCATCGAGGAATGTCAAACTCGAGCTAAAATCCTAGCGAGAAAGTTTGCCAAAGAACCTCGACAAAGCACCTCAAAAGTGAGATCGCGAAGTCGAAGTCAAAGTTCAAACACCAGATTCTCCTCCTTCGGTGAGCTAAGCCTTTGTGGCAGATCAATGAAATCAGTAATCACCCTCTCCCCAAACCCGCACCAAGGAAACCATCGAGCTCTGGCTCATCCAGGCTCCATAAGATTGCTAGGGGGCGCATGCTTAACCTCCTCGGTAGCTTGTCAAACCCAAGCATCAACCAACTCTCGACACCTCGAATTCAAGCGAGCTCTAGCTCACGCACAGCTCACTCTTTCGGGGAAGGGGGGGGGGGGATAGGAGCTACCCAAAATGAAGCGAATTAACTTCATCTGTGGGGGCTCAAAGATGTGCCGAGACTCAATCAACTCGATCAAGGCATATCAACGCAAGGTCGAGTCCACTGCCGTGAAGCTACCCCTAGACAGACCCAACCACCAAATAAGTTTTCTAGAAAGCGAACCGCTATCTTTGGATAAATCACACAATAATGCACTTGTCATCCAGATTGCCGTAGGAAATTTAGACCTCACAAGTCATGATCGACACTGGTAGCTCGGTAGACGTGCTGTTCTTCGACGATTTCAGACGCATATGATACCAAACATCCATGTTGTCGAACAATCAAACTCCACTTACCGGCTTTACCGAAGAAACCACCTACTCGTTAGGAACCATCCTGCTCTCAGTCAAAGCTGTTGGGATCATAAAACAATTGACTTCATGGTCGTAGATCGCCCAGCTCCGTTTAATGCCATACATGGCAGACCGTGGCTCTACGCAATGAAATCTGTAGCTTTCACATTCCACCAATGCGTCAAGTTCCCAACTCCTTGGAGGACCAAAATGATATGCTACTCCCAACGAGCTTCTTGAGATTGCTACATGGGCAGCTTCTTGCGAGCTGAAAAAGCTCTCGCATAACAATTATAGAGAGAGGAGGAGCTCGTAATTCGACAACTCAAACACAACAAAGACCCTTTCGTCTGCGAGCCTCAAACAGATTTAATCGAGCAAGTATGCATAGACCAGGCCAACCCCGAAAGGTGTGTTGGTATCGGGGTCGATCTTACGAAGACAATTCCCGACAAGCTAATCATTTTTTCTGAAAGAAAACATAAGGACCTTTGCATGGTTCACCTCAGACATGCCGGGCATCGATACAGAGGTCGCCGCACACGAACTCAACATCGACCCAACTATCAAACCCGTTAGACAGAAACACCACAAGCTCAGTCCAGATCGAGCTAAAGCAGTCAACGACGAGGTAGACAGACTACTCAAAGTGGGATTGATCAGAGAAGTTAAATACCCCGACTGGTTGGTAAACCCTATGGACGTCAAAATGAAAAATGGGAAGTGGAGAGTCTGCGTCGACTTTACCGACCTAAACAAAGCATGTCTGAAAGACAGCATTCCACTTCCACACATCGACCGCTTGGTCGAAGCCACATCTAGCCACCAACAGCTGTCCTTCATGGAAGCCTTATCCAGATATAATCAAATCAAGAAGAATCTGAAAGACCAAGAAAAAAAAGATTTCATCACTGATCGAGGTACCTACTGCTACAAAGTAATGCCTTTCGACCTGAAAACGCAGGAGCGACCTACCAAAGGCTAGTGAACAAAATGTTTGCTTACCAGCTCGGTGAAACTATAGAAGTCTACATAGACCACATGCTGGTCAAGCCTTTAATGGGCACTGACCACGTCGCTCAGCTTAGGGAATGCTTCAAAATCTTGAATCAATATGAGATGTAGCTCAACCCGACCAAACCAAATGTACCTTCGGAGTCACCTCTGGTGAATTCCTCGGTTACCTAGTGACCGAGCAAGGGATCAGGGCAAATCCGAAGCAGATCACGGCATTCCTCGAAATACCATCTCCCAGAACAACTCGGGAAGTACAACGCTTGACCGGTCGAGTTGCAGCCCTCAAGCGATTCATCTGACGGTAAACTGACAAGTGTCTTCCATTCTACCAGCTCCTCAAAGAAAAAAAAATTTCAGTGGGACAAAAAATGCGAGGAGGCACTAACTCAACTCAAAACTTACCTCATTGAGCCTCTTATCTTGGCTAAGCCAGTCGAAGGAGAACCTATATACCTCTACATAGCGGTCTCCACAGCTGCAGTAAGCAGCTTGCTAGTTCGAGAGGAGCTCGACGACCAAAAACCGATATTTTACGTAAGTAAAACTCTTATCGATGTCGAGACAAGGTATCCAGCTATGGGAAAACTAGCAGTAGCTGTAGTAATGTCTGCTCGCAAGCTTCGATCTACTTTCAGTTACACTCAATCGTGGTAATGACCTCACAACCTTTCTGAACTATACTCCACAATCCCAGCCAATCGGGACGCCTCCCGAAATGGGCCATAGAGCTCAGCGAGTATAACATCGAATATCGGACAAGGACATGCAAAAAAGCCCAAGTCCTAGCAGACTTCATGATCTAGCT